TGTGTGGCTTTTCAGCAATTCCCCCCGGACGGGGGTTTGATTGCTGAAAAGCCGGACATGTCCGGGAAAAAGAGGACGTATGGTAACCCTACATGGTAGTGTTGTCCTCTAGTGTACAGGAAGGGAATACATGGCTAGCTGGTGGCACTACCATCTGGTGGCACACTGGCTGGCCATCAGCAGTGAGAGCCCACGCTGGGATAAGCCTATATTGCTCTCTGAGTGGGAGACCCAGCCCCTGAGAATTTGTTTTGGAGATTCATGCCTGTGGCCCTAGGCATGGGTGCCTATTTGCGACAGTCTGAAACAGGAATATCAGGATACAGTCTCTGTTCCATCTCCTAGAGGACATCCTCCTGCAATCCAGAGTTGAGGGATCGTGTTCACCCCCAGCATAGCCACGCTGACTTTACCCAGCTTCAACCAGGGGCTCACCCCTTCCAATCCACCCACCCCCATTGTTCCCTTATCTCAGTCAGTGACTCTCAAATAAACAATGTCCCAAAGGAGGCGGTGACCTCATCCATTAGCATTAACCAATCAAAACACATTTCAGTGAGTTCAGCTATAAACATTCCCTCCCACTTCAATAAGTATTCCGCTTATTGTCATGTCATCCCATGACCTTTCCAGGCAGCTTGCAGACCCCTGCAGAGTTCTTTTAATCTAAGCATGTCCAGTTTCTACCACTCTGTCTGTCTCCGTAATTCACTGACTTTTATAACCACACCAGACTATGATGGGCTTTTCTAAGCTGGCCATGGTAACACTCTGGCCTGTGTGTCTTTGATTGCCGCTGGGCTACATTTCTGCTTTCAGTAAAGTCTCATTTGCTCAATGGATCTTGCTGAAGGAGTCAAAGGCAGGAGGCAACTATGTTTGTGTGCCTTTGCTGTGCATTCTGTGCTAGAGATGAGAACAGCTGATCTTTGAGATGTGTGAAATCCAGAGCTGGATTTCATCCAATATATGTCTGAGGATGGAAGTAGTCACATCACCATCATCTTCACCACCATTATTTATTATTTATACAGTGCACGACAGAATGCTGGGTGCTTTACACACATCCCATGCAAAAGACATTGAGTATGATTTTCAAAAGTGCCTAAGAGATTTAGGAGCCTAACTTTCGCTTAGGCACTTTCTGAAATTTTACCTATCTTCTTTGGCGCCCCTAGTGAAAATAAAAGAAGATTGGTACAACAGCTTATAATAAACGGAAGTGCATTCTCATACCTGTTCTGGGGATTTTTCACCAGATAATGCTTCACTGTTAAAGAAAAAAAACAACAGCAATAAATAAAGAAATGTGGCTTCACATATCCAGGATTTATGCTCTACAAAGAGACACAGCAGACAGGTCCTAGCATAGCCACTCCTAGAACTGTATAGATGCCTATACAGACCTCTGGAGGTCATCCCAGAAGTTTTAGGATCTGTATAGATGATGTACTTTTTACCACCAGAAAGCTGCTAGCTATAACCATGCATCCATCATGCTGCAAATCAGAACATATTCTAACTTGAATGAGATTGTAAGGCTACTGGGAAAGAAGGTAGCAAACAAAGCTAGGAAGCTGCTGCAGAAGTGCAGGGCCACTCAAATTCCAGCGGTCAGCCCAGCCAAGGGAGAGCAGGCTAAGGAGAGCCATTAAAGGCTGAGCATTGGACTTAAAAGTTTTTGATTCTCTCGTGGTGCTTCAGTTCTGCATTCTGTCCCCAAACTTCATTTTTAAAAATGTATCTTTCCAAAAGCCTGAAATAAAAAATAAACCGTTCGCCCACAGGAGCTGATGTAGTTCTTAACATACAGCTAGGTCGTGGCTTTAGGCACAGAGGCATTGCCAGATGGGATCAGCACCAAAGTCCAATATCCTGTCCCTGTCAGTGCTCAGCACCAGCTGCAGAGGCTGGTGTAAGAACCCCGCAGTAGCAGATGTGGGATGATCTGCCACCCGGGAAGGTATCATCAGACTGGCTTTGGCCCTGAAGCATGAGGCTTTATATCGCTTACAAAACAATTTTTTTAGCATTAAGTATTCTAACTCTGGGTGTCCTTGTGATCTGATCCCTCTTTCAGCCCTGAGTTAGTGGTGTGCCCCTGCCCTCCAGAAGGAACTGAGGAGATATTGCCTCATAGACACCCTTCGTGGGGCAAGCTCTGCTGGCTGGCATGTGGGGGTCTGACAGCCCCCATTATCCTCCCCATGTCCTGAGCCAGGATGCCTGGTCTTATGTGGCATATTCCCCCTGGATTCCCTGAATGGCTGTGTAAGACTGGGGGACAATCTAGCCCACATCTCTGATCAGGGTGTGTGGGCATATCTTTGTTTATGTTAGGCCCCACAATGCTTCACCTTTTTGGGGGGGGAATGGTTACCTGTCCTGAAGGACTGCATTTTAGCACTAAAAATAAAGCTGATGACTCAAGGGATTGGTCATACTAAACTACAGCTAGGTCTCTAAATCTAATCTAGTTTAGGTCTGTGGTCATCAAAAGTTGTTACTGCTTGGCAGCTGTTTGGTGGCTGATATGATATAAGTAGAACTGGTTGGAAAACAGAATTTTTCCCCACACAAAATATTTGACTTTTCGGCAAAATATCAAAAACTGAAATATTTCAGCCAATACCCAAAATATTGTGGTTCAAAATGGCTCTGCAGTGCCTCATGGGAGTTGTAGTTTGGGTGTCTTATGCCCCCATTCTCCTATATGGACCAGGCTCTTTGACTGACTACATCTTCCATGAGGCATTACTTTTCTCCCTTTTGGTGAGGGGAGGGGTGCCTCATAGGAGTCCCTGGCTATGCTGCCTCATGGGAGATGTAGGCTGGTATGATAACCCAACCAATTGAGAAAATGGGAGCATAAGGCATCAAAACTACAACTCCAACGAAGACGCTGTGGCAGAATTTTGAATTAAATATTCCCGTTTTTGGCCAAAATATTTTGGGTTTTGGTTGAAAACCAAAAATGTTATGGCTATCAGGTAGGGTTACCATACATCCGGATTTTCCCAGACATGTCCGGCTTTTTGGTCCTCAAATCCCCATCCGGGAGGAATTTCCAAAAAGCCGAACATGTCCGGGAAAATAGGGAGGCATGGTAAGGAGACCGCCTCCTCCCCGGGGGTCAAATTTCCCAGCTCCCGCCACTCTCCCCAGCGCAGCAGCAGCCAAGCCCAGGAGGAGGCGGCTGCGAGCTGGGATGCCGCCAGCTGGCGCCGCTTGGCCAGAGCCGGGGCCGGGCTGGTGGGGCCGGGGGTGCTCAGCCAGAACCGGGGCCCGAGTCGAGCCGGAGCCGCTGGGACCAGGGCTGGGGCTGGGGGTGCTCGGCCAGTGCCACTCGGCCAGGGTCAGGCTGGAGCGGCTTGGCTGGGCCAGTGGGGCCGGGGGTGCTCGGCCGCTGGCCGGAACCGGGGCCCGAGCCGAGCTGGGCTGGAGCAACCAGGTCTGGGGGTGCTCGGCCGGTGCCGCTTGGCCAAGGCCGGGGCCGGCCAGAGCTGCTCGGCTGGGGCCGTGGGGCTCGGCTGCTGGCCAGCGACCGAACCGGGGCCCGAGCCGAGCCAAGCCGGAGCGACCAGGGCTGGGGGTGCTCGGCCAGCGCCCCAGAGCCTGAGCGGGCCGGAGCTGCCGGGGCCAGAG